TCTTTATTTTCGTGTTCAAAAATTCTAAAAGCATTAGTTAACTATGTTATAAAGAATACCACTTCGTTAATAGAAATAAATGATAGTAATTATAGTGACATATATTTAGTAAATAGAATTGTATTTGAAGTTAATATATATATTTATGAATACAGTTGGACCTGTTTTTATGCAGTAGACAGGAACCGCATAAACTAAACGCACGAAAAAAAAATTCATAAATTCTTACATATAAAAAACTAATTCGCAGAAATACTACAGAATTTTTTTTTATGCGGTGGATAGGGACCGCATAAAAAAAAGTAGCATTTATAAAATATGCCAATTACTTACGAAATTTTTATATATGTAAGAATACTTCCATAACAAAATAAATAATTTTGTAATGTTTAATTACCGTAAAATGCGGCGTATAACTCGCACTTTTAGCTCAACAAATAAGATCGAAATTTAAGGGTTCGTGTTATACGCCGGAAATAAAAGCGATGGTTTTAAAAATAACAAAAGAGATGAGCATAAAAAAGAAATTACTTCTACACATGTCGAGATACTGTTTATTTAAAAGAAATGAAACACCTTATGAACTAAAAGAGTTGTTGTTTTAGAAGAACAGTCAGGGACCTCTATATAACGAAGTCGCTAAATCCTGGAAAAAAGTTCGTTACATGGAAAATTCCTTCTATAGAGGTTCATCATTTAATATACTTTATAAACCACATAAAATAAATTTTAAATTCATAAATACTATATATTGAAATAATAATTATTCACGCCTTTTTATAAATTTATATGTTTATTTTATGTATCTTACCCATCAAAAAGAAAAAATGGAAGGAAAACAAGAAGCAAGAACGTGGAAGAATTCACTGTTTTTTCAGTATTAAGAAAATAATTTTATACTAAAACTAATGAATTTTAAGCACATTTTATAATTTAAAGCATACAAGTAATAATAATCATACATTATTTTATAATTAGAACACGGGGACACAGGGCAACTCCATTGAGGGTGAAAGAGGATATCGAAGATGTTTCTAGTGAACTGCGCAATGGGAGATAGAGGTTGCATTTCTTGGATGAAACATCCGGAACTCTATTGCTTTCGGCGAAGTAGGATCCAATAAAACTAGTTTAGGATTTATGACCACCCTAAAATGTGTTAAAGAGAGAATAACTTGAAATTTTTTCACAAAAGAAAGAGTTCGTTCTATAGAAAATGCACTCCGCTATAGAAAGGTTATTTTACGAAGAAAATCGTGAAATGTTCAAGGTTCCAGGAAAAAGTTCGCTGTATAGAAAAATTCGCAATATAGATGTTCGTTATACAGAGTTTCGACTGTATATTATTTTTTCAAAAGTCTGGGATAATACCTCGAATAAATGACTTCAAAACATAGGAATATTGTATACTAACAATTCGAATTTCTTTGTAAAGAAGGGGGTGCGCGTTATACGGCAAATATACCTTAAAATAAAAAAAATACAGCTTTTGAAAGTATAGGTGCGCATTATACGCCGGATTTTACGGTGCTAAACATTTTTAAAACATATGGTCTCTCATTGTATACACTGATAAGTTTTCAAAATGCACATACATAATTCATTGCTACTCATCGTAATCCAAAGCCCTGTGATGAATAAGTTCAAATTCGCTTTCGTCACTTGAAGGTACAAATTCAATTGATTCATTTTTTTTCATCATAAAGTAAGAGATAAGTTTTTGTGACGAAGGTCGAGTGGTCAGTTGCTTGTAAATGTCACGAAAACCAGATATACATGATTGTGAAGCTCTTTTTGGATTTTTATACTCCTTTCTTAATTGGTATCTATTTTAAGTAAATGCTTTTCCAATTTGTTGGAAAGCTGGATCCCTGCATATTTTTATTCGCTCTCAAAGAATCCGGTTCTTCTTGTTCATCTTCATAATTTATCAAATTATTGATAATGCCACTGTCATTGAAAGTTTTGTCTTCAATCAAGCGCGGGCTGCTGGAGCGCTAAGAGAAAGCAACTGAGCGCGCACTGTCGGAAGACAGTTTATAACAAGTGAACAGAGTGTTTTGAAGTGTCTACATTTCAGTGGCGTAACGTACACCCCCGCGTCATGGGGGAGGCAGGACTCTAGGGGTCCAAGGCCTGACTAACGCTAAATACGTACTTACCCAATTTATAAAATATTAAAGGCAAAACCCGACTTTCAGCAGGGAGGGCTAACATTTTCCGTTACGCCACTGGTAAATAGATAGAAAACATTACAGGGGCGCCAAAGCCATTGAAATTCATAATGCATAAAAAAAGATTACACATAAAAAATCGCACAAAAATAAAATCACACAAAACAACTCGCACAAAAATAAAATCGCATACAAAAAGGACCGCACAAAAAAACAGGTTCTACTGTATTATGCCACTACCCATTTCGCCCAAAAAAAAAAAAAATGTGGTGCCAAATGCTGTTATCATTTTCGCACATGCGTGAAAACAAATTCCCGTGTATGCTTCTTTTGTATATACACTGCTGGACAATTGCTAAGGACGGATAACACTATCATCCATAGCAACCACAAAATGAAAGGAAGAAAAATGTGGAAAATTAGATTAAGTGCGGGATATTAATAAGAAGTATGAGTATGCAATTTTTTTTCCACGTCTGTTCATCACGTGATAGCGTTCATAAGAGCTTTAAAGGTTTTGACGAGTGTGGACAGTTGTTGTTTCAAGTCAAAGTTTTACAGGAAAGATTTAACAGACGAACTTAAAATTTTTGGCATGTCTTCCCGACATCACATAGATGATTTTATGCGTGGCCGAATTATTGGAAAGATCGAAGAAGGGCGAAAAATAACAGATGTTGCCAGGGTGTTCGACATCGCTCACAGCGTTGTTTCACGGCTGTGGAAGTCATTTAAAACTACTGGAATGTGTAGTAGACGGCACGGGGGAGGTCGTGTTAGAAGTACGACGCCCGCAGAATACAGATATATCGTCCTATCAGCAAAAAGGAACAGGCGCACCACAGCTCAGCAGGTGGTAAATCAGTTTCTTGCTGCCTCAGGAAAGCAGATCTCCCGAAAAACTGTTGCCAGACGTTTGAGGGGAGGAGGACTATACGCACGCAGACCTGTTGTGTGTGTCCCATTGACCAGACAGCACCGTACTGCCCGTTTGCAATGGTGTCGTGAGCATCACAATTGGACTGAACAGGACTGGGCATGCGTACTATTCTCAGATGAGAGTAGGTTCAGTCTGTCATCGGATTGTAGACGCCAACTGATCTGGCGCGAGAGTGGTACTGCTTATCGTCCAGAAAATATCCAGGAAAAGGACCGATATCCGACATGCAGTATCATGGTGTGGGCCGGCATCATGATCAATGGCCGCACGCGCCTACATGTGGTTGCGAATGGGACTATGACGGGCCAACGATACATTGATGAAGTTCTACTTCCTCATGTTCGTCTTTTCCGTGGTGCTGTCGGTGATAAATTTGTTTTTATGGACGACAACGCAACATGTCATCGAACACTCGCTGTTCAGAATCGTCTAGACAGCGAGGGTATTCAACGTCTCGTATGGCCAGCGCGTTCTCCAGATCTAAACCCCATTGAAAATGTGTGGGATGCTTTGGGGAGGCAAGTTGCTGGTCGAAACTATCCTCCGACAAACAAGAACACCCTCATCCGTGCACTCACAGAGGAATGGGATAAATTGCCTCAACAGCTGCTGGATAATGTTGTGCAAAGTATGGTACGACGTGTGGAATGTTGCATCACACTCCACGATGGACATATCCCGTACTTATACCTTTCTTTAAGGTGCCTGCTGACTTTTAGATGCATTGTTCCATTTCTCCGTACGCAGATCAAATGAACATTTTTTTTTCTTTCATATGTTTCACAGCTTTTGTGCTTTCCAGAACAATAAATATTCTTTATTCTAATGTCTGAACAGTGTGGCAACTATATTTTATCCTAGTAGGCCTCATGTCTCGCTTAATGTTATGCTACATAAAAATTTGTGATCCGTCCTTAGCAATTGTCCAGCAGTGTACCAGTCGATAAATAAATTATATAGCTAAGATTTAGAAGAACTAAATATTGTTCCTTAAAAAATGTGAACTCTTAATATAAACGAAATATCTAACAGTATTCAGGCGGCTAAAACGTTGTAATTGTATTCAAAATCACGATAAATGAGTTTTCATTATGTAAACGACGCGAGATAAATTTTCATAAATAAGATTCTAATTGCTGTTTTTCAGATTCACGATGTTTCTTATTTTGCCATTTTGCTAAACTTCGTAGTCTTTCGAGTATTTACGTATAAGACCGCACTTTTTGGAAATGCACTCAGTTCTCTCTGTTGAAAATAGATCCCGAATTTTATTCACTTTCACAACAAAATAAGAGAACAATAACTTTAAAAATAATAAGAATAGTTTTAGACTATTGGCTGAATATCGCGGTATTTAGTGATATTTTTGATTTTTTATGAATTTAGTCAATGGTATAATGCTTAAGCATCTCTATTTATACATTACTATATGATGTTTTATAAAAATTTAACATATTTTAGTAAAACTTTGTTCTGTAATTACTATATAAATTACAGAAATGGATAGTTAACAGCGGAATTCTTCCCATAGATTTCTGAAAAGTCTTTTTCAATTCCTACTAATATATATATATATATATATATATATATATATATATATATATATATATATATATATATATCGTTCACACTCTTCCTATAAATATCTAGTTATATATATATATATATATATATATATCTTGTTCAAATTTTCTATCGTTAATAAAATATTTTTATTCATCCGCTCAAGTTCAAATACATTTTTTTAAACTTGTAGTGGATGACACTTGACGTTAATAAAGTTTTTTCAAAAATTAATTCATTTATTACATATAATTAATGAATAAATAGTAACAAACAAAAATAATAGTCCAACACCCTATGTAAAAAGGAAAATAGCTCGTTGTGTCCCTGTAGTGCAATGGATAGCACGTTGGACTTCTCATCCAAAGGTCGAGGATTTAAATCTTCCCTGGGATGGTCTAATTTCTGAGAATGTAATTTCTTTTTTACTATACTATTTTATTAGAATAATTATTAAATTAATGAGTAAATAGTAACAAACAAACAAAAAAATAGTCCAACACCCTATATAGAAAGGAAAATCGCTTTCTATTTTGCGACTTAATAGTATAATGCTGCCATATATATATATATATATATATATATATGTAAAATATTTTTTTTATATTAATTGTAGTTATTTAATAAAAAGTAACTCAAATATATAAATTTTTTTGTTCACCTAAGTAGGAATTGACTTAATTTTTTTTATATTACTTGTTATAAAATGAATATGCTCTCTATTGAATAAACAATGCTTATTTTGGATGTGTCCCGAATAATTCGTTAATGTTTTAACATTTTTTTTTCAGATTGTTGGAATGATGCTGTCCTGTGCATTGTTTTTGATGATCAACTGAAACTGAAGTTGAAACATCACATATCCAAAAAGTTTGTAAATATAAAAATAATGCCTTTTAACGGCGTTGCATTCACTTCAAAGTGAACCCAACGAACTTGAACTTTTTGTTAATTGAAATGTTCTGGATGCCTATCTATTCATCCTTTTTGTTATTATATGTATTTTCTCTCTTTTAAGAAAACTTGTACAATCTTCAGCTGTATTTTCCATGTAATCTAAGCTACACAAAATCTGAATTTTTTATCAAAGTAAATTAGTATGATTTGCAAAAGAAAGCAATATATACAACTGTTTTGAGCAAGCACATTCATTTGGAAGAATCAATTTTTTTGAAATGTTCGTTGTAGTTAAATGTTATCTGAGTTTTTTATTTGTATAAATATACGTGCTATTTATGCGTAAATATTTATTCCGTTCACACTTTGGATAATGTATAAAAAAATTTAGCTTCTCCATACTGCTTATAAAAACAGCCATCTTTACCCTACTACTTAATACAGTTTTTTTTTTATTTCGTATTTTAAGTGTTCATTGCTTTTGTGATTTTTTAAGTTGGCTGAAATTTGTCATTTATTTATCATGTTTTTTCTCAATCGTATTATTTATTTTATATATTTTTATGTTGTTTCTTAAGTGGAGGGTTTAAATAGAAAAAAATCCCTACATTCCCGTCCTTTTCTTTTTTACCTTATGATCAGATTTCTTCAATATTGTCTGTAAGCATTTTTCTTAAATATTTTTTCTCAGTTACATTCACATATTTTTTAAAGCTGTTATGCTCTATACTTCGTAGACTAGAAATTATATACATTGTATCTCTAAATACCTCTGATTTAATGAAAAAAACCTATTTAAAATTTTATTTTCATAATTAAATATCTTTTGATTTAGGATTAATTCAGAGAATGATTACAATTGTAACAAATTGTAGTAAATCGACTTCGTGTATTTCTTTGTATAAAGAGTTTTCAGTGGCATACACAGACTACCTTATGGGACGTGTTTTTTGCGTGTAAAATAATACGTCGACGAAAAAGCCCTAACGAGTAGAGTAATTTATATACTAAAAAGTTAAAATCTCTTCATGTATGGGAGGGATTTGAGCTCCCTAACCCAACCCGTATACACACCACTGAGATTTTTCATAGTTATAGAAAATTCCCATCAGTGGCGTAGCAGAGAATATTAGCCCCCTCCCCCCTGCAGTCAGTTTTTATATCCCAAGCTGGATCTTACAAAGGATTGCAAAGTCATAACATAACACAGGCTTTACACCTCCTTGTTTTTTGTCCCCCCACGATGTGGGGGTGTACGTTATGCCTCTGACTCTTATGTCGTATTTGTCGAGTTGTGGGTATGACAGATACAACGCCGGCCACTGAAGATCTGTCTCCACTAAAGACCCACCGAATAACGTGGCAGATGCACTATAAATCTGTCAGAGCTGAGGGTCCTTGCATTGATGTGGTGTGGTGTGGAAATTTGGGCATTGAGATGCCAACTCAGGCGTTGTCCTCGTTACTTAATCGAAATATAAAACTACGAGGCCTGTCGCCAATACTCCTCTTGTTTCTACGAGGTGCGATGTTGATAAACAGTTATTCAGTCAATAAAGGAATCAAAAAATTTTCTAATCAATATTTCAGAAACTACTCCTCTGTGAAATAGTTTTCTTTATGTAAAATTAATAGTTTTTTTGTGTTATAAGATTTAGTTTACGGGATAAGTGAATGATTAAATGTGTAATGCGGCTGGATAAAGAAAGATAACAGATGAGTTTTCAATTATAGATATAAAGATTAGAAATGTATTCAGCAATTCTGACTGCTTTCATCTGGAATTCATTGCACAGTTATTTTAATCCCTACGGTTATTTTTTGTTGATGATCTACTGTACTTTTTGAAACTGTTTAATAAAATACTTCATTGTTGTGTTTTTTTATAAATGTGTTTTAGTTGTATTTTAACATCATGTAACTATTTTTTCTTCTACAGTCACTTTATTATTATATGAAATTTGAGCGGATCACATATTTTCAAAAATATATGATGAAAATGCTTTTTTTTGATTTCTGAATATACTAAAAATATATGCTTGTAAATCCGTAAAAATATATGCTTATTAGCCATATATTCTGATTTTAACAATAATGCCCTTATATATATGTGTCTTCATCAGTGCAAATTGTTAAATTTAATTTGTTAAGGAATTGAAGTTCAAATATTTGCATTTGGCTGAATGGTTTATAAGCCGTAATTATATCAATTCTTAGATTTTAATGTTTTACTAAGGCGGCATAACAATTCTTTCAAACTATCAAACAATTAGGGAATTTAGTTTGGAGTATAATTTAATAAATTGCGCAGCGATGGACGTTACAGATTAAGATAAAAGTAATAAATTTCGTACTAAGTTTAATGAAGTATTCTTTAGCGTGTGAATAATTTATTAATTTTGGTTAAATTACCCAAATATTAACAAAACTAAGGACAAAGAACATGGACCACATTCTTCTCTCATTTGGCCTGTGCTGAAGATCAGTGGTCATTAGAGGGCACTTCTGCTGCTTGGAACAGTCAATTTAGACAATATATTATGACAAGAGCGGTTACAAAATTATATATTTTATGAACAACCAAACTTTGATTAATTTATTGTTGATGTCAATAACTGGCTTGCCAATAACACACAAAATCTATTTTATTTCAAACAGGCTTACGATGTCTTTCGGTATAAATTCCTTTGCCTGCTCAACACTTCTTCTTATGATTTTAAAAAGAAAAAACTATTTTCTTTTTTGTCGAGTGCTATGCTAGAAACTTACATCTGAAATATTTATTATTATTTTTTAATGTTTTCTAGATTTAGGTAACAATATAAGATAGACATTTGATTTAAATTAGGATTCATATCATTGAACCACCTTCTGCTTTTGTTTTTTAGGGTCATAGCAATTAAGGAATAATCTTTTTAAATATACACACAATATTATACATAAAACTTAAAGCTAAAAAAAATCAATCAAAACAATGACCACAGTTTTTATGAGCATATGAAAATAAAAAAGATTCCATTACGTACAAGTGAAACTTATAAAGCGTGTTAAAAACGACGGGAGTTATATTTAATCCTATTCAAAGTATAAAATCTTTTAATATAAAATAAGATTTTTAGAACATGTTGCACGAAATTTCTTTCTTAAAATTGGTTTTAACTTTTTATTAATTATTAACTGAATGGCATTCAAACTAAAATGATGAGAAACAATTTAAGGAACAAGTAAAAATTTTCATTGGGGAAATATAACAATAAGAATTTGAGTCACTGATTCCAAAATGAATTGAACTACTGAAACTTCTTAATTTAATATTTTTCCATCGAAAAAACTGAACTTCAAGGGAATACACATATTTTCAAAATTTCTTTTTTCTTTTTTTTTTCATTCTACAGATAAAAGTATCTTTCTGTACTATTCTGTGCATATTAAATTTATCCACAACAAAGTAAACAGACTCTTTAAAAAAACTTTTTAAAATTCATCCAACCTAATTATACGTGTGATAAGTAACAAAAGCTTCCAGAGACTCGCATAAAGGACCTTGCATTCATATAATTCATTTATTTATAAAGACATTAGGCATTATCTGAATGTTCATAAATTTGAATGCGTGCTTTTGGATTATACTACAAATCATCATTTTCATTTTTTTAAAGAAAATTACGCATTTTATTAAAAAGTATTCAATGGTCAGATAAACATGTATCTTAAGACATTTTATTTCTTTATTCATATTCGATTATAATCATAACACATATGTGAGCTTCTATCAATACTGAATTTTAAGTTTTATGAAAAACGTTTTTAAGTTTTAATAGAAGTCCTTTTTTTCATCCTTTTATTTTCGTAAGAAAACATATTTTACTGCTACTACTTTAAATGCATTAAAAACTAAAGATATTATTTCAGGTATTTACTTTCAATATTAGGGCCGTGGGTAGCCTAGTGGTTAGAACATCGGACTCCAGACCGGAAGGCCTGGGTTCGATGCCCGTGCCCAAATCAGTGGGTCCGAATGTCTTGTGGGCTGAATCACGAGTGCAGGGGACTGGAGAATATTTCCTTCCCCTTCAGTTCCTTGCCAAAATTGTGGAGATAGGTGGTGTCGCCATCTATCGTCCCTTCGGGGAATTTCGCCGAGCTAATTCTTACTGTCACCTGTATGGTGCTCAAGGCCTAGGACAACGACAGCGTACTTCTAGCCCCTTGCCACGGTTAATTTCGTGGGCCTCGTTCTGACTACGTCAGACAGGTGGCATTAGCCACACAACTAATTTCAATATTACTTCAGTTTTTTGACTTATTCAAAAATCTCGCGTGACGTTGAAGGAAAAATAAAATCGTAAGGCACAACTACAGTGCCGACTTCGTTCTTTTGTCTTTCTAAAGAATTATAAAATTATTCATTAGTATAATTTTTAATATATATATACAGTCAGGTCTCTTTTTATGCGGAATGTTTTTATGCGATTTTGAAGTTGTGTGGTTTGTATTTC